TTCTTTCAGCAGTGTTCTGTAGTTTTCCTTGTAGAGGTATTTCACATCCATGGTTAGGTATATTCCTAAGTATTTTATTTTATTTATTTTGTTTTTGCAGCTATTGTGAAAGGGGTTGAGTTCTTGATTTTATTCTCATCTTGGTCACTGTTGGTGTATAGCAGAGCTACTGAGTTATGTACATTAATTTTGTATCCTGAAACTTTGTTGAATTCATTTAGGAGTTCTAGGAGTCTTTAGTTATATAATCATATCATCAGCAAACAGTGACACTTTGACTTCCTCTTTACTGATTTGGATGCCCTTTCTTCCTTTCTGTTGTCTGATTGATCTTGCTAGGACTTCCAGTACTATCTTGAATAGAAGTGGTAAAAGTAGACATCCTTGTCTTGTTCCAGTTCTTAGGGAGAATGCTTTCAATTCTTCCTTTTTCAGTATAATTTTAACAGTGGGTTTGTTGTAGATGTCTTTTATTACTTTAAGGTATGTCCCTTCAATGCTAATTTTGCTGAAGGTTTTAATCATAAAGCAATGCTGAATTTTGTTAAATACTTTTTCTGCATCTCTTGAGATAATCATGTGAGTTTTATTTTTAATTCTGTGTATGCGGTGTGTCACGTTTATTAATTTACTTATGTTAAACCACCCTTGCATCCCTGGTATGAAACTGAGGATTTTAAAAATTGATTGTATGTAGTGGGGATAAATTTATGGGAGTTCATTCACACTCACTTATTTAATTGCTTTGGTGACAAATTCCACAGATTTTCAGATGATTGATTGGTCAAGGGTTTGGATGCAGCTGTGAAATAAGCGAAGAAAGTAAGGTTGAACCTTGATTCTTAGCTTTCTTAAAAGTAGACAAAACACTGCAGATGATCTTAAAAGAAATTCTGAGATCAAGACTCTTCATTATTGTTCTATTCTTTGATGAATAGCGGAGAGATTTAGCAGGAGAAATAACATAGTGATCTCAGCAATATATATTATAATCCTTACTAATTTTATTTTTCATTTGTCCTCAGAACAAATTGAAGCTTTCGTTTTATTTTTAGAGGTCTAAATGTGTCACCTATTACCTGCTACCATTTACTGCAGTGTATGATATTCCTTAGAGTATAGAGTAGTTGTCATATTTTTCTATACCAAATACATGCATCCAGGCAAGACCCGTGCTAAGTGGTATATTTAAGTTTGTATCAGTGACTGCAATTCAAACATGTTCATATTGTAACAAGAATGGTTGTAGCTCATAAAGGTGGGCTCTACAGTTGTTTGGCAACTTATTTAATGATTCTAGCACACAATCATTTTTTAGTTAGTTGGGGATGTGTAACACATTTTTCTTCAGTTTTGGAGGCTGGGAAATGAGACTGAATTCCTACTTTGGGGTAGTTACTGAAGAATCTTTTGAGTCCTGTCTTCTAGTTCTGTCTCTCTCTCTCTCTTTCTCTCTCTCTCTCTCTCCCCCTCTCTCCCCCCGCTCCTCCCAAACTTTCTAAATTATTTTTTCAATGTGTTAATATCTGAAGTTACTATCACAGGATAACTGCAGCTATCCCAGTTACTTGTCTTTCTGAAGAAAGTAAATTGACAGACTTTTACCCAAGGGATTTTTGTTTTTGTTTTTTTTTTAAGGTAGACTTCATATCTGAATTATTCAAATTAAAAATTCTGGCAGAAGGTAGCCTGAATCTAGTGGGTCAAATGTTGTTAGTACAAGCTCCCCTTCTCCTGCCATTAAGTTTTACTAAGTTTTTGCTTCATGTCAGTTTCTATGAAAATTTAATAATTTATTTTCTCTCATTTAGGGACTCTTGATGCTTTGATTCCAAAGGAACACTGCCTATTCTGGCAAGTGAAATGAATGTCAAGCAAATTTTCCATAAGTGTTAAATCCTACTTTGTATTTCTTCCGTACTCGCAACAACAGTTGCGGCTGGGCGCGGTGGCTCACGCCTGTAATCCCAGCACTTTGGGAGGCCGAGGCAGGTGGATCACGAGGTCAAGAGATCGAGACCATCCTGGTCAACATGGTGAAACCCCGTCTCTACTTAGAATACAAAAAATTAGCTGGGCATGGTGGCGCGTGCCTGTAATCCCAGCTACTCAGGAGGCTGAGGCAGGAGAATTGCCTGAACCCAGGAGGCAGAGGTTGCAGTGAGCCGAGATCATGCCATTGCACTCCAGCCTGGGTAACAAGAGCGAAACTCTGTCTAAAACAAACAAACAAACAAACAAACAAAACAGTTGCAATATTTAGAAAGCTGGAAAAATGGATTTATGGAATAGACATTATTTCTCAAATTGATTTTTGAAGGCTGTCTTCTTACACTAGAGGTAGCAAAGGCCAGATTATAGTAGCGCATAAAGCCAACCTGTTTCAACAAGCTTCACCTTCCATGTACAAATATTAAAAGAATAGGTCCTCATGAAAGCATTTCAGATCCAGAGACAAATTTGAAAAAAATTGCTACAACATGTTGAGTGATTCCTTGCCAAGTCAGGCACTGAGAACTTTTTCTTGATTGACTTACACAGAAAATTACAGTGGCATAGGGAAAACATGTAACTTTGTTATTAAAAAACTAAACTTCACAATATCTTTAAATTCCTCTCCCTCTTAAAATTTTCTTTTCTACTTGGATTCCTCTCTTCTTCTCCCTCATCTTCTACCCCTACTGTCTTTTCCTTGCTCTCTTTCTTCTAGTCATTCACTGTTATATACTCTGTTGCTCTAATGTATTCATTTTTACTGTTAATGTTGAAACAATGATATGTCATGGAGAAATAGCTTTCTAAAGATTATATTCAGATATACAGATTCAAAGCAAGATAAAAGTTAAAAATGTTTTTAAAATATGCTTGTCAGCAGTGGAAAGAAAGCTGTTTGTAGCCAGCAGGTGAGCTGGAAAGTACTATAGGGTGTGGTAGAGATAGTAATAAATTAGCTGGCAAGCCAAAAACTGTAAAAAAAAAAAAAAAAAAAAAAAAAAAGCTATTTCATAGCATAGAAGCATGACAGCTATTTAAAAAGGAGTGCCCCAGGGAATTCTTTTACAGTTTGATTTTTTTAAATATGTTTGACATGAAAAATATTTTAGTACAAATAAAGCAACTGGTATTAAACTTACAGGGAGGGGGGGTTGTGGTTTAGAGTTAGTATGAATAATGCATGATATTTAAAGAAAGAACAGCTCTAAAATATTCCAGGAGGCAGTCCAGTTAGAATGGTGATTTTCCCCCTATTTTTGAAGCATCATTAATTCAGCATCATTTTGTGTTTTTTTTTAAAACTTTATATCTACCAAAGAAATGCTATTTGACTTAGATTAGGATCTTCTTTCTTTAGATAATTTAGTTTAAATATCAAGAAGATCAGTAGAATTATTTAAGCATAAAGTGACAGTCGTTTACTATAAAAAATAATTTGGCCTAGTTATGTTTTTTAAAAAGTTCATGTAGTACTGCAAACCAAAATCAACCTCATGGAAGGAGAAAAACAGGATCAGATATTTTGAACATTGCTCCATAGGAGACCTACACAATATAATGTTAGTGAATGCATTGTAGCAGCGCTTCATATGCAATCAGAAGCCAATTGTTACTGGACTGTGTACAAGCACACACTGTGCTCAATGGTCTGATGAGGTATTATGGATATGATGCAAAAAGACTGTGTAGATTAGAAGCTAACAATTTGTTAAAAGTGAAAGCAACTTAACATTTACATTGGACCAGCTGAGTAGCACTTCATGTGGCAAGCAGGATGAGTTCCCAAGAACCAGAGGCACCAAGAAGGCTCCAGGTATTAGTTTCCATACTGGAAAAAAAAAAAAGTTTGCTTTCCAGTTGACTCCTTTTATTACTGAGATTCTTTCTAGCTGTATATTCATTATTACATTCAGCTTTGACTATGGAAAAGTTCATGCAAAACAGCATGATTTTTATAAATGTCAAAAATGTGTGGAGGAACAGCCTATTAAAATATAGCCTAGAGATAGTACTCAACACTGACTTTAAATAAGTAGCTGAAGCCAAAGTGATACTCCATTAAATCATTAATATTGTGTAATTTATCCACATGTACTAATTTTTATTTTAGCTATCACCGTCATGATATATTCCTCCTTACTTTATTTTGGTTCTTCAGATTGCTGCACACAGCCTGTGTTCTTAGGTCACAGAAGGTACTTCTGTCTCCCTTTTTAGGAATAATCTGAAGTTAGAAACACACTAAGATGTAGCATTCATCTTTGCTGAACCACATTAAATCTTTACCAGGCATTAGTACAGATATTCTATGTAAAATATGTGGATATTTAATCAAAGCATCATTGAAACATGTTTCATAAGTACACAGTATGCATCATTCTATACTAGGATCCACCAGTTCAGTACCAGAGGTTAATTCAGAAAAACATGTTTTCTACAGTTATGGGGATACCAGACGTTTCACAGAATGCTGGAAGATAAGATTAGCTATCCTCTAGGCCCTATCATATTGAAGAGGTTGCATTTTTTAATTTTTAAATTTGTCTAATAAAATAAAGTGTAGAATTACAAACAGTTAATAGCTCAGAACCCTTTTTGGACTCTAATACTCTGTCTTCCCTACCAAGCCAAAACTTTTTGTTGTTCTAATATAAAAGCCTCAATGCTTTCCCAGTATACTGAGTGTCAGCCTAGCTTTAAGATATTTTTTTTACTCTTAAAAATTATGTATTACAAGATTTGTAATGGAGTGAACATGCTTGAATTGCACATTTAATTTTTTAACATCATATTCATGTTTTGCCAGTTTGCCTACCAGCTATCTGTTAACAAAAAGTTCCAAGGCAGCACTGCAAGTCTGTGCCCAACTAAGCCTTTTGTTTCTGCAGATGTTTGGGCTTAGAGCAATGTTTTAAAGCTCAGGCAATCCAAGGACCATGTTTGTACTTGTCTGCTGCAATTCCCTGTGCATTGTCTAAACCTGTATGCATTGTTCTTTCCGACAGGTGATAACTACCCTGTACAGTTCATTCCATCAACAATGGCAGCTGCTGCTGCTTCTGGACTCAGCCCTTTACAGCTCCAGGTAAGTGCCAGAAGAAAAAAATGTGGGATATGAGCCAGTACTTTAGTAGAAAACTGCTAACCAGCTGTATGCTAAATAATGGCCTGAATGTTAAATAATGTTTTAAGCATAGCCCAGAAGGATTAACACCTTATATGCTTACCATAATGCAAATAAAATAGAAAACTGCCAGTTTTTATATTTTTAAAGGAAAAAAATCACATTATGACTTAATACTATGTATTCTCTATCAGAGGAGTTGATAGTTTTACAGTGTCAACGGCTAGTTGTTACTGCATATATGTTAGCTTTTTCCTTGTCAGTTTTACATCTGTGTCTCTACTTATGTCCAGATTAGCTTTTACATGTAAACATTGAAGCAAAAAATGATGTTGGATACTTTTCCTTCTAGTAGCTCATAGAATAAAGGGTTGTTATTCTCAAATTACATGATAATTATTGGGTAAAGTGTAAATGCATTGCTCCTTAATATGTGTATCCTCATCCTTTCTAGGGTCAAAAGTCAGGGCATGGTATCTGATTAATTTTGCATTGGTATTTCACATTTATAAAGCTAAACTTGGGGAGAAAGTGTTTTGGAAACTGATTGAAAAATCATTTACACCTTATCTTCTTCACAGTAAAATGAGTTTGGAATAGAAATAGGTGGTCGTTATACACTTCTACTACTATCATTTGAAAGGGAGGTTGACTTTGATTATGAATGTGTATTTGTATTAATAAAAACAAAAAGATGAGATCATTAAAATAAGTCAAACATTCAGTATTTGAATATTTAGAGAATATATGATAATCAACAACTTGAATTCAATATAGTAGAAAGTTTTATTAAATATAGTTTTTATTCTTAAAATATACTGTAGTTATTTTTGAGTTTTCTTAAATAATCTACAAAATAGCATCTGGTGAAGTATTTTTATTTCTGTGTTGCTATTCTATAGGTGACTTGAACATAAAAAATGTACAGCTATTGTATCATGAAAAAACATCATTTTGAATGTTTCCAACTGGATCTTCAAATAAAGAATTTTTGCAATACTTTGAGAAATTTTATCATGAGTCATGATCCAGGAAGCCATAAAGATGTAACCCATTATGGGCTGCCTAGTAGAGCCAGAAATTTTCCCTAAGAGGAGCGGCAACCTCACCTCTCTTGCAAACTTTCACCTTCCTCACTACTGACTCTGAAACCTCTGTAGTTGGTGCAAGTCTAAAAAGAACCCTCACTATTATAAACCTAATATATTTCTCCTTTTCCTATAGCTGTGCTATTGAGTATTTTCTTGAGTCAGAGGCAGAAGTAAGAAATCAGTGTCACCGTTTGATACTATAACCAAGTTTCTGTAAAAGAAAGAAACTGAGTCTTAAACTTTCTACTTTCTATTTTATTGATGTGCTCAGTACCCTGGATTTAGAAATATGATTCGTTTCATGAGTTCTGACAGTATGTTTTGTCTTTTTTTTTCTTCTGAATATGCTACTAAACAGAAGGGTCATGTCTCCCACCCACAAATTAATCCAAGGCTAAAAGGCCTAAGTGACCGTTTTGGCAGGAATTTGGATACCTTTGAACATGGTGGTGGCCACTCTTACAACCACAAACAGATTGAGGTATGAATGCTTCCATTGGTGCTTCATTGGGTGGGGGACTGCATTGTTCAGTCATACTCTAGGTTTTTTTTCTTTAAAGTGGCACTCAGCCTAAATACTAATCTTAATCTTTTCCTTTTTCTCATTCCTAAGGAGGCTCTTGTTTTGCTCCTTTTCTTTCAGAGAAAAAAGCAAATCCCAAAGCAATGTCCCTGAATTAAGGTTGTTCTTTGCCATATATATTCAGGCAAAAGCTTTACATTATAAGTGTCTTCAAAACCATCTTTCTTCCCTTATTCTTTTACCTTTTCTTGTGTATACTGTCATATAGTATTTTTTTAAAAAATCTTAAACATTAAAAATATTATTTGACCATAGAATAACCCTGTAAATTTAATCAAATATAATTCTGCTTTTATAGCTAAAAGAGCTGAGGTTCAGAGAGGTTAAGTTATTTAGCCAAGGATATAAAATGTTTGTTGAATCAAGGCTATTGCCCAGGATTTCTAATTCTACCTACCCAGTTTTCTCAGAATGAACTAGGGATGGGTGCCTGGGCCTGGATGGTTGCTTTTTCCCAGATAAACTTCCATAGTATTCTTTTCATATTTCACCTTCCAGTAGAGTCCTCTGTTGTGTTTTTGGGATATTCTTAACACTTGAGAGAAGATGGCTTATGAAAACCAAGAACTTTTCTTCTATAAAAACCAAGTCCTCCTCTCTCCAATTTCATGCTTGATTCCTTTTCTGCATCATTGGAGTCCCTCACTGGGACTATCATATGGGAGAATTTCCAGCTATCTGTTGAATTTTTAAAAAGTGGATACAGGTTACCTCAGACTGAAACACACTTTAATTTTGGGGGTTAGATATAATGCCAAATTTTATATTGTAACCTAGGATGGAAAACTCAACCCAAAAATGAAAATAATTGCATCTAGTAAGATGAAGATGAACATTCAGCTTCTGTTGGCTCTGCTGGTCTGTATAGCTCAAACACTATGTAGTCAATAAAAGGTCCCTTTTACATTACCTTTTCTGCTGCTTGTGAATCTACCTTTTTGGAAAATGATAGGAAATGATCACTCCTAAGAAGAAGGAAGAGACAAGGCCAATGACCCCCTTGGAAGTAGCCTAAGGTAAAGTTCCAGAGCTTGTTAACTGCCTCCTTCTTTCCTTTTGCTTTGACATAAGAGGTAAACAGGGGGTTTCCACTCAGACATGATTAGACACATACTGTAAGAGCATCTTCTGTCTTCTATGCAGACAGAAGAAATTTCTTTTCTAAGGCTTTCTTTTGGCTGTAGAGAGACAGTATCAAATTTCTGGACATTCTGAAAACCTACTATGCCCAGGAGAGCTGAAAAGAGATGACTGGACATTAGGAACAAGTTTTTATGTGTGATGACAATTAGAAGCTTATCCACTCAAGACAGTCAGCTTGAAGAGCTTTTAAATGCCTGGAAGAATGTGATATCAGGTAGCCTTGACTCAAACTCAAGAACATCTTCTCTTGTTGGGCTTCTGTTTTCTGTTGAGGTGTTATGTTCTATCTCATCAATCTTCCCTTAGCCAGGTTTCTACTCAGTCTCTTCTTTTGCCTAATTTTTCACTTAGGTCGGCTTCTCTCCCACCTCCCAATCCCTAGTCCCACACCATCACGGATCCCTGATGTGTCAAATCTGACTTCTCTTGGGTTTCTGAAAACCGTGATGTCATACATAGGACTGTCAGAGCTGTGTAGTGCCATAGCTATGCTGATATAGAAGCATAGCATATGTCACATGTCTGTCACTTCAATTAGGCTAAACAGGGAAACCAACAATGCAAGAGCCTTCATAGCTTTGCATTTTAAGTTTGGCTGGTTTTGTATCCTCAGTTTTTGCTTATTCTTGCTCTGTTCTGTTGCCTCCTGTTTTTGCACCTTTTTCTTGCATCTCAGGAAACGTTTGATCTGTTTGCTCATGTGGACACTGGGTAGAAAAGACTGACCTTGTTTGAAAGGCAGGTTTCCCAAACTTTCCTGGTATGAGTGCAGCATGTTTATTGGGACATAAATGAATAGTGTAGTAGACACTCTAGTAGACACCCATATCTAAGCTGCTAGATAGTAAATTTTAAATCTTGAGCAAGTGTAGAGGGAAATTTTAATAATATCTTGCTTTATTGCTATTAGAATCTGCTTTCTTTTCTAGCTAGTGTTTTCTCCCCTCCTTTGACAAGCTAAAATGTCACAGTTCTGTCAACAAACATGATCCTGATAAATTATTGCTACTAGGAAAGCATTACAATTATATTAACTGGTTTTATTTCTAAACAGAGATTTTTAGGAGGAAAAGTTTATAACACATATACTTCCCCACCCCACCTCACCCCATGCATTACTCAGAACTGGTCCTCTACCTCATGTTACAGTTAATTTGTCCTTCAAAGGTTTGTCATTTCTAAAATTAATGAGCCTGGGTAAATATTAACAACATTCGGTATATATTAAGTATGCCCTGAAATTTTTTTATCAGGTAGAGAAAAGCTATTTAAAATGGAAAGACTCTCCTTACATTAGCATATGCCATTACTTTCTTTCTTTAAAATAAGGAAGATTCCATAAAGACCATTTTTTAAAAGACTACTGTGGTGATCTAAGACTTGGTTTTCTCTGCCTCAGGGGCACAATATTAGGAGAAAGAAGGCCAAAGAGTGCTATTTTTAGTTGAACAGTTCAGCAGATGCAGGCATGAATACTCATATATCTGAAGGTTGAGGGGTTTGAACCATTAATTTTGATAATGTATTTAACCCTGGGAACAATCAGAAACTGTAACTCTAAGGTTACAATGCTTTTGACCTTTAGAGAACAGAGGGCATTTGCTACAGTAAACAATATATTATATTGCTGCTTATTTCAGTTCTCTCACCCGTATAAATTTCAGGACCAGTTGCCATTTGCTTTCTTCAGCTATGTTAGCACTGGTCCTTAAGTAAGTCAAAAAGAATGTTAAGGAAAGGGAACCAGTATAATGAGGCATTCATATAAATTTAGCCTTTAAATAGCGATGATGTTAGATTGTTTCTGAAGAAATATTGTCTCAGGAACTAAGCTCTGGATGACATTTTTTTTAATGAAAAAGGGGCTTCAGTGTATTCATTAATTTTATATGGTTACTTTCAATATGATAGATCCTTAATATTGTTTTGTTTTGTTTTTAATGGGGAGTAGTGTTGCCTCATAGTTGTAGCTTATATTAAACAAAATCAGGTACCATATGCAGAGTAATACACCTGTTTCATGCCTTCTTATTAAATGATGCATGCTTCTCTTCAGCAAATACAGCAGTTAAATATCACACAGCTTAAGAATTTCTAATTAAAATATTGCCATGTGTCAGCATATTGGTTATGTATTATTTTAATCCATTTATTTTGTTTATGAAACAGTGACATATGTTTAGATTGTGAAATATATGAGCCTTAAAAATCACTTTATTGAAGAAAATTAATTCCTACAATACTGTCTCAGTAATGTGTTCACTCACCCAGTCAGTCACTGGCGGCACTGCCAGTCTTAATGTTGGGTAGACACGCTTACCAGTTGCATTCACATAACAGTCTTGGAAAGAAGCGTATCAGTTCTTTTTCTTAGCATCAAATAATAGAGTTATTCTTTTCTTACTATTTTCTCTTACTTATTAAGTTCAAACCTATCCCCCCAAAACACTTTTGTTGCCTTTTTTTTAAAAAAATACAAAGAAGGATGGGGCTGAATATATACGTAAGGGATTGTGAAAGACCAATCAAAATTAAAACAAGCTAGTTACCTTTTCAAAGTTAGACATAGTAATTTGTTTGTCAGCGGGAAGTTGTTTGGGTCAGCCCTGAGATAAAGTGACTGTCAGCAGTTATTCCTCCAAGACAAGTAATTTCACTCAATGTATTACTGACAGATTGCTCACTTCTCTGAATCACCAGAGAAAACAAACTTAATATTGTTACAGGCAGAGTTTCTGTCTTCATTAGCTTCAGAGAATGATTTTTATCTAGCATTCAAAGTTCACCAAGCTTTAGTTGGAACATATTTTAACAGACTCGTTCTTATAATGATAGTATGGATAGTAGCCTAAATGAAAGAATTGTATATGGAAATTCAAAAATATCAGTATAAATATATTTCCACTGTTATTCGATGTGTATTATGTGTAGTTTAGGGAAGATTTGAGGAAAGGAATATAATTAGAGTCTTAAAGCACTAAGAAAGCCTATCAACCATAAGTTATTCTTAAATGAAACTACTGAAGTCTTGCTAAATTTACAAAGATGGAGGTGAACAATTGAAGTTTTTGCAAAAGGGAATACAAGCACATATTTTATTTAAATGGTATTGTCAATTTTCATGCTACAAATGGAAAGTAAAGAAGTGCCCATCAGCATTGAGAATATTGTATTTCTATTTCAGTTGTTGCCTGAGTCTTTATGATGTTATATTTAGAGGCTCTGCACTGTCTGTTGTACCTTGTCTTCTTATTTGCAATTGTAAACATGCCTGTATGCTGTCAGGGAATGGGAGGGTGATTGAGTTAGCTTTGCTGGGTGGCCTTGGTGAGTTGTGATTTCTAATAGAGAGGAGGGTTGAATAAAGAGTTGATTAGAGTGACCTATTACTGGCTACCCAATGGAGAAAAAGGAATGGACTGATTCAAAGCTTGTTTGGAGGATGCCAACCATGGGGCTCTGCTTTGAATAGAATGCATACTTTTCTCTTAATTAGCCTTCACTTACCCCTCTGACTCTTTTCTTGACTTTTAAGAGTGTGGTAGAATTTGGGAGGATCATTACAGCTAGGCTTAGTTGAGCTGTAGGCTAATGGAATGAACTCCATTTATGGAATTAGAACTTTAGCATTTCCACTACAACTTACTTGCCTGTTGTCTTGCACTGTTATCAAAATACTTTTTCAGTTTTTTTTTCATTGTAAAAGAGCATAATATACATTCTCAGGTTTTTGGTTGGTTTTTTTGTTTTTTGTT